GAAAGTAGTGGCTTGACCAGAGTTACCATTAAAATAGTATTAGCCATTGTTGTTGAGGATTGTCCTTTATCAGTACATACAGAACACTCTCATTCTTATTTATGGATAACCATTATTCCATTCCATATTAGCTGTAGTTAGCCTGCCCTCCAATGATGAACATATAAATTTTTTCCAGGCTTTGGTATTTTGGAAGATGCTGCAGTGAGTAATCATGTACATATAACATTTCCTATGTGTTTGACAAGGAGCTCTGGTAGCATAGTGGCTAAAGCACTTGACTGCTAACCAGAAGGCTGGCTGTTCAAACCCACCAGCCACTCCTCGGAAGGAAGGTTGGGCAATCCTACTTCCATAGTGATACTGCCTCGGAAACCCAAGGAGGGGTCACTATGAGTCGGGGCCGACTCAACGGCACATAACAACAACAACATGTGTTTGACTATACCTTTTGGATAAATTTCAAGGTGTGGAACTAGTGGGTCAAAAGTAATTTACATTTTGCATTTTGATAGATGTCCTTCATTAGGACTATGGTAGCTGACACTCAGACTAAATGTTTGTGAGAAACATTCCCAATACAGATATTATAAAAAAAAAAAATTTTTTATAAAAAGATCTTTGCCAAGCTGATAGGTGAAAAAGGCATTTAATTTCATTTTAAATTTTATTTATTGTGAAAAGTTGACTCTTTTCCATATATTTAAGAATCATTTTTTCTTTGATATATTTTTTAAATTATTGATTTATAAGATCTCTGTCTATAAAAAAATAAGTCTTTTATTGTGTGTTGTAAATATATATTTTTAAAATTTTGTTTGCCTTTCTGTTTAAAGGTATTTTTTTTATCCTTTTTAATGGTGAAAACTTAAAGATAAATATTCTTCAGTAGAAAATTGGATTAATTATTAATGGCAGCTATGAAAAACACATCTGTATTTATTGGCATATGTTCTGGTTATTTAGTGTCGCTCTGATAAGAATATACCACAGATGGGATGGCCTTAACAAACAGGAGTTTATTCTTACAATTTGGAGGCTTTAAGTCCAAGTTCAGAGTGCCAGGCTTTAGGAGCTGTGTGAAAGCCCCTTGACCTTGGGCTTCAGCTCTGCCTCTTGCTCCTGGCCCACTGAAGCTAGAGAGATCTCTTCACTCAGGCAGTTACTGGCTGTTGAGGCTAATAAGCCCAAGGTCAACAAATAAAATGGCACAGTCCCAGTGTTACCAAACCACACAGCAGGCCATTGATTCAAGTCCATTGAAAGTCCCAGGATCAGCAGAGCATGGCAGTCTGCTGAACAATGACATGGCTACATGCAGGTTTAAGTGTGCCATAAGATAGAGACCATTCCACAAGCTATTTCTTATATATGGGAAGCAGACCACATACCCAAAGCAGCTACTCAGCTGCTCCAATAGATTCCACCATGGACTTAATTACTAATCTCACCATGGGGAATAACTACATTCAGCTGCCCAACCACTCAACCAGGCCCAGCCAAGTTGACACACACACTTCACCACCACAACACAGAAAAGTGGCCGTAATATATATAAAGAAAAATATACATCTGTGTCTCTTCATTTATACAGTAAAAAGTTCAGAAGCCAAAAGGTTAACAGTAATTTTCTCTAGATTTGAGATTATGGTTTATTTAAATTTTATTTATGCTTTTTTATTTTATTTCATTTTTTGGCAACAGACATATATTACTTCTTTTTTAGGAAATATTAAGCTATTTTCATTTGAGGCATAAATATCAGGAAATAATAATGATCTTAGTTCTATGTGAGATGTGTCTTAGCTGGGCAATAAAATACAAGTAAAATAAGTGCAAAATCCCCCATCTGATCCCCAGAACACACAGCTAACAGGTGGACATTGTTATTTTCTTTGTAACTTGATAAAGTTATAAACCAGTACAAAATTAAAGAATAAGTAAGTTAAAATTCTATCACTTAAATTTCTGGTTAAATTTTACATTTATTGGTGGTGTAGTCGTTAAGCACTCAGGTGCTAACCGAAAGGTTGGTGGTTCAAACGCATCAGCCACACCACAAGGGAAAGATGTGGTTGTGTGCTTCGGTAAAGATTACAGCCTTGGAGAGCCTATGCAGGCAGTTCTACTCTGTCTTGTAGGGTCACTCACTGCAATTTAGAACCAACTGGACAGCACTGGGTTTGTTTTTTTTAATCTTATTAGTTACAAAAAAAGAAGAGATTCTTTAGGTGTTGTGATGCTTTAAACTGAAACAGTGAAACATTTAAAATAGTTGTGTTTTTTAAACCAGTATTTTGGAATCAAAAGTAAATTTTTTAATAGGTGGCTTATTTAGGGGTACTGGATCTGTTTTTCCCTTAGGTACTGTTCCAACTTTGCAGCATTTCTTTTTATTACATTGTAAAAGAATTCTTTATGGTTAAAACAGACATACATACAGTGCTCACAAAGCAGCTCTATAGAGGAAAAGCAATTGTAGCCTCCTTTGAGTTGTTTTAAATACTTGTGCAAAAGGATTATTTGAAACTTTTATTAGGATGCCTTGGTTTGTTAGCTTGTTGTGTTAGCAGGCACTGTCTGGCAGAATGATATTAGTGTGTGTTCCATAGGGATTTAAGATAATCCTTATTTTTATTAAGAAATTCAGGTTAACATTATAACCTTAGGAGCTCTGGTGGCGTAGTACCTAAAGCAGTTGACTGCTAACCAGAAGGCTGATGGTTCAAACCCACCAGCCACTCCTTGGAAAAAAGATTGGGCAATCTATTTCCTTAGTGATACAACCCAAGGAGGGGATGCTATGAGTCGGGTCCAACTCGACGGCAGTGAAATTTTTTTTTTTTTTGGTATTATAACCTTATATCTTGTTCTTAACTAACTTGCTTAAGGTGATTCAAAAGTTGGTTTATGGGGAGACATTTAAAGTCTATGTAAATGTTCTGGCCCTAAATACTGGTTTAATTAATGGGGGGTGGGGGTGGTGAGTGAGGGTACATAATTGTGTGTGTTTTTGTTTTGGGGGCTTTTGTTCAAGTACATGAATCAAGGACTGATTTCGCTGCAGTTTTTTTCTGCATTTTAGAACATGATTCATTTATTCAAGAAATAGATTTAAACACCTGCCAAATGCCAAGCAGCATAACAGAGTAGTTTTGGGGAAAAGTTGGTTCTGACTTCAAGGAGTTAACGTTCTCGTGAAGAAGAGAACAAGAAGTAAACTAGAGCATGGGGGTGAGTTGAGGTCAAGCACTTTGAAACTCAAACCCTGCTCAATTCAAATTCTGCTCATTGGCTGAGTGACACCTTAGATGACTTAACTTCCTAAAGCAAAACAGGTGTAACAATAAATAGTGTTGACTTCAAAAGCCACTGAAAATTGTAAGTGCACCAACCACTCATTTTAAAGAGTTAAATGAGCTATTCCATGTAGAGCCTTTAGCATAGAGTCTGGCATATAATAAAGATGCAAAAGTCATCTGTTAGATCCCGTGAGACCTCAATAGGGACTTGCTAGAGGAGAAGATGCTTAAAAATAGGAAGGCATCTCAATGTTTTAATGTCATACAAATTGTGCATAAGAAAGAGGTGATAGGTTGTCTTTTAACTGAAATATAAGTGGGGTTCCTACCAACACCGGCACACATGTTCAGCTTTCCAATCACATTTTTCCTCTGGACAAACGAACATTGAAACACAATGTGCTTTTCAGGTTGGCTGCTGTAAAAGAGCCTAGGAGGAATGACTTAACTCTCATTTGTCCATGTGTTGAGTTTCAAAATACTACCTTTAACCTACTTTTTCTTAAGTCATATGTTTGACTTCACTGCTGCTTAAACATTATTATTACAGTATCCCTAGCAACAGAGGGAAATATACTTTGTAGCCCTAGGGATCTGAGAACATCATCAGAGTGGGCTGTGCAGAGTGAAAATTTTTATTGACATTTTATGTTCATATATCTATTAGTGGAGTATATATTTATATGTGTCTGTTCATGAGTCTGTATGTGTATGTATGTATGTGTATATGTATGTATGTATGTGTATATATATATATATATATATATATATATATACACACACACACACACATATATATGGATTAGTTTTAATATAAAGATGTTTTAAACTATTTACCTCCCTCCAAATGAAGTTGTAGCTCTGGGAATATGTGGAGAAATTTTCATTTAAACCCAGAACACCTCTGCATACTCCTAGGTTAGGTGTTCACTAATGTGAGAAATATGGGAACTGACATTTTTTTAAAAAAAGGATCCTTCTCTTTTTCAAGATTAAAAAAAAAAACAATGCAGAAGCAGGAGTAAATCACCATCTACTTTACTGCCCAGAGGTTAACTTTTTACATAGGAAATTCTTTGTGTCAATTTACTAAGTCACCTAGCCAGCATGGCCTGGTTTTTGACAAGACACCTATCAATTGGTGAGGCTCACGAGGTGGTGAATGTGCGTATATTTGTATATACCCACGTATATGATCAAGAAGCCCAAGTGGTGCTATGATTAAAGCATTGGGCTGCTAACCACCCCATCCACTCCATGGGAGAAAAATGTGAGAGTTTGCTTACATAAGGATTTGCAGCCTTGAAAAACCTATGGGGCAGTTATACTCTGCCCTGTAGGGTCACTATGAGTCGGAATTGACTCGATGGCAGTGGATTTGGTTTTTCCTGGATGCATGTGATCATATTTTACTGGAAATAGTCCTTGCTTTTGGATTACTAGTTATTGTGTGTCCTTGGCATAATTTCTATCTTCTGTAAGCAAACTAAGTGTTTTCTATAAACACTAAACTGTAGAATTTTAGACATGCATAGAAATAAGGCATATTTTGTTCCTTTTGAAATCTGGATTTTTTTTTTTTTAAACAAATGGAGTCTACAGTTTCTTAACACAAAAATAGTAAAACTCCTGTCCATATTGTTTGTGCTAGACGGGGATGTCGGATGAACACACATAGCCCTGCTTTTCCCATTCCAGGTGGACAATATCTGACAATCTCAGCAGCCAAAGGCCCAGGGGGAAAAGCTGCTCGCTTGGTACTACCTCTTGGCCACCTCATGCATTCAGGGGACCTGTGCCTGTCATTCAGGCATAAGGTGACTGGGCTGCACTCTGGCACACTCCAGGTGTTTGTGAGAAAACACGGTGCTCATGGAGCAGCCCTTTGGGGAAGAAATGGTGGCCATGGCTGGAGGCAAACCCAGATCACCTTGCGTGGGGCTGACGTCAAGAGCGTAAGTAGAACCTCAAAGGAGGCAGAGCCTGGCAGTTTTCCTTTCATAGGAGACCTCTGGGGTCTGAATTTGAAGAAACCTTGTCTCTTCATAAATTCAGACTCAGAGAAAGGTTTGGATTTCTTCTGGATGTGATGAATTCATTCATTGCTGCTTTCTGTAATTCCTTTCTGCTTCTTCATCCTTCTTTATTGCAATCTATGAATACCACCACCCTGACCCTGGCAAGGCCTCCTCTTTTTTTTTTTTTTTTTTTTTTTTACCACGTGGGAAAACCAATGGGAGGGGCGGTCACTATGAGTCGGCATTGTTCCGATGGCAGTTTTTTTTTTTTTTTTTTTTAATGGGGTGGTGGTGGAAATTAAGAATAGAGTAAGTAAAAAAGAGAAGTCAACAAAAATTTTAAATGGCAGGGTTAATGAGTTTAAACTTAGCTGCTTTAATCCTCCTTCAATTCCTTATATTTCAAACTTTACTGCTATCAAGTGTTTCATTTTTTCTTTTTTGAATTGTTTCTTTAAAGTTCAATTTTCTTTTCCTCTGATGCAAAGATTATAGTTAAGTAGCCTTCGATGGGAACTCAGAACAATACCCATGGCAAGCACTATTGTATTCAGGACAGGGTGTAGGGAAAGTTTTGATTGAATACATACATTTTATTCTAACTAATCAAGTCGCAAGAGAAATGGCCTATAACACCTCACCAAGATCATGACTGTATTTGGAGTTTGGAGAAAGGATCTTTATGTTGATGTTTATAGAACTTTTCCCATTAAAAGATTCTGTATCTATGCCTATAAATACAGTTGTAGAAACTATTTTAGAAAGAAGATGGACCCCATTAATACAATCTGTAACAGTAGTATTTGGATTTTGTTTTACTTTTTGGTTTTTCTTTTTTTTTTTTTTGCTAGTTTTTTGCTTAATTTTTATATTGCTTGGAGAAATAAAGCAAGATGATAGTTTCAAGTCATAGCACTTGAAAGATTTCTACTGTTTCTAAAGGACCAGGGATGCTCTATAAGATAAAAGAATAATGAGCCTTTTTACATAGAATAGATAAAATAACATGGTGATTGGATGATGGGCTTTTTTTTTTTTTTCAGTTTTAGTCAACAGAGCTATATTAATCCAAAGGGGGAACTAAGAAACATCTAAGATAGGCTGCATAATTATGATCTTCCAGATCTTTGGCTCTTAATTTTTGTACCTTTATATTCCGTCACACTCTTCTGACTTCTAATGTTGGTAATCTTTGACAAATGTCCACTTCATAAGCATTCTTTAATGGAAGGAGGCTATAGTTTAGAGCAGCTTTTTAAAGAGTAACTGATTTTGAGTAATGTGGGCTGATCAACAGCTGACTGGTGATTTAAGTTTCTACCAAAAGGCAAGCCCTTCCTATTTAGGTCACACTAGTGCCTATGCTTGAGTCTTTCCTTCTGTTGAAGAAGTTTAATATTTAGCTGTTAAAAAAAGTTTGCTAAATGAGTGGGCATTGGAAAGGGGCAGTGGAGGCTTGACTGGTGTATGCATTCTCTCCCTAGGTCATCTTCAAAGGTGAAAAAAGGCGTGGTCACACTGGGGAGATTGGATTGGATGATGTGAGCTTGAAAAAAGGCCACTGCTCTGAAGAACCCTAGCAACTCCAGAACTAGCAATGAACTCCTATGTTGCTCTCTCTTCTTTTTCCAATTTTCACCTCCTCTCCTCTCCTCTCCTCCCTCTTATCAGGCCTAGGAGAAGAGTGGGTCAGGAAAAAGTCTGGTTGATGACCCATGTCTTGCTGGCCTGTTTTTGTGCAATCCCAAATGAACAGTGAAACCCTCCTTGAAATATAAGGGGCACCTGTAAACACATCCCAGCTATTGTTTTGTGTTCCTTTCCATCCTGTTTCACTTTTGGGAAGGCCTTCCACATGTGTGACCATACCACCCTTCATGCTGGTTATAAGGTGCTCCTTATAGCAAATTGTGGGAGAAGTTTTCAAAAGAAATCAGTGCAAACAGCCATCCTGTTATCTGTTCAGTGTTGTACCATGAGTAGTATTGATTCCCCTTAATGTATGATATACAATGTGCTTGTGAAATTGGTTTATCTTCTTCATGTATGTTAGTTCTGGCTTGGACCTGAACTTTGACTTTTATTGCCATTTACTTTATAAAAGAAGGGTGTGTAACATACCAAGATGGATTTAATCTTACCTTGTTATCTGTATTTTTATTTTAAAAACAGTTATGTAGAGTGGGCACGAAATCCCTTGTTAGAGGTAGTGTGTTTTGTGTAAATGTGCTATTGATATTAAGTATTTACATGTTCCTAATATTTACAGACTCTAGTTGCAAGGTAAAAGGCAGCTTGTGATCTTTTGAGTTAAAAAAATGCATAGTGAAATTTCATCCAGTTGGATGCCAATGACCTTATATTGGTAGCAAGAGAAAATTGGAAGAGGTAGCAAGTTGTGGTAGTGGAGTGATACATGGATTTTCTTTTTCTTGTTTTTTTTTAATGGTCTTGACTTTAATCTCTACAAAGGATAGTAAACCATTCAGGTAGACAAGAAACTATAATTAACACATACAGCCCTCCCTGTTTTAGGTCACAATTACAAATAAACAGCTTTTCCCATAATGACATGGCACTCTCTGGTAATATGTAAGAAGCTTTGTAAAAATCTGGTTATTTTACATAAGTGATTCTGTTTGTTTATGGAAGTAGGGTGAGGGGATACATGAGGGAAGTTCCATTGGAACAGATTCTCAAGCTAATTTTTATCAATATAAATTTAGTCAGGTCTAGTTCATAACTTGTATGTTATCATGTTAGGATGGGATAAGAAGTAAGTCCTGTGTTTGAGGCATTGGATGTTGGAATGGGATTCACACACATTACCAGAATAGTATAGGACTGGAGTTCTAAGGTACATGAATCCGCAACTATATTTCTTCCCTGCATATTTTACTTTTTTAAAAAAAAAAGAAAAAAAATTACATAACTTTTTAAAAGATTACTCCTGAATTTTTTTTTTTTTCATTTCTACTCAAGTAATCAAAATATTTTCTGCTATTTTTGCCAGGAATCACAAAGATGATTAAAGGGTTGGAAAAAAAGATCTATGATGAAAAATTAAAGGAACTGGGATTATTCAGCCTGGACAAGAGAAGACTGAGGGGCAAACCATTGATGGTTTTCAAGTATATGAAGGGTTGGTACAGAGAGGATGGTGGCCAGCTGTTCTCCATATGCACTAAGAATAGCACAAGAGGAAACAGGCATAGACTGGAGTATGAGGGAGCATTTCCTGGCAGGGACAGTTGTTAAAGTAGAATCTTTTATAAAAAGAATGTGGACACTCTTTTTTTTTGAGGCTTTTTAAAAATGAGAAAATGTTATCTATTTAAGATGGTTAAAGATGTTCTTACCTCAAAGCAAAATAATGCATTACAGAATCTCCCCAAAAATATTTTGATCCTAATAATTCATTGAATAGTAATTCAATATGAAAATCTTAAAAAAGAAAGTAAGTTGCACTAACTAGGTTCTGATTGAGGTATTTCTCTATTTGACTACTAATGATATGTTAAAAAGAGCAGTCAAAAGGGGAAGAGACTACTAAATGGTGAAATCACTAAAATGTCTCTTCCCTTGTGGCAAACCTAGCAGTATTAAAACAAAAATTAAAAAAAATAAAAAAGGAAAAGAAGCTCTTTATTCCAAAAGAGAGGATCATGAGTAATTTTAATATCTTAATCCCTAATGTGGTGGTACCCCTTCCCCCAGTGAAGGTTTAAACCTTTAACTTGCTTAATGGATGCAGTCTCAGTTTTTCTGAGAGAACTTGGCAAAGACACAGTTTGGAGATTTTTTCTAGTGCATCCTCTCTATTATGTATGTGAGAAATTAATTTAGCTACTGAAAAAATGCCATGCCCAAGACTTTTCTTCACCTCATCAGTGTAATTTAATTTCTCTTATCAATCGAAATCTCTCAATGTCCACAACTCCATAATTTTGTGTGTATGTGTGAATAATATACAATAGTATGTCTTTTATAATTTAAGTTGGGGGTGGGGAAGGATTAAAGGGGAAATATAAATTATGGAACCTTTGAATAAAGGCCAGAAAATACAGCCTTAGAACCATTTTTTAATGATTAATTTCTTTTTTGGTCAAACTACACAGCTGAAGAAGAAAGGGGAAAATAATTGAAATTTCACTTTTAGGTGCCAATAATACATTGCACTAAGCTGATGGAAGAAGTTATCCAAAGTACTGTATAACATCGTGTTTATTATTTAATGTTTTATAAATGAAAAATGTTAGTGGTTTTCCAAAATGGCCAAATAAAACTAATTCTTTGTAAATTAAAAACACTGTTAATAATACCAATTCTCTGTTTCTTGTTTTGAGTTTTATTATTTGTGATTCGGGTGGTTCATTAATGTTTTTATAAAAGCCATCTGTCATAGCATGCTCTTTATAGCTTGGAAGACTGGAGACTACATTATTATGCCTTCTAGATTATGAGACATTTTCCATAGGCATTCACAGGGAAAAAGATCAGAAGGTCATTATAACCCATGTCTTATTTACCAGGTTGTAAATTTTGGCCTCACATCCTTTTATGGAAAGACAAGCTATAAGTAAACACATGAATAAATATGAATTATAGGTGAAAAATAAGTCTTTTTACTAGGGTCGATTTTGTTAATTTATGACATTTTGTTTATATTTCAATAACCTTTCCTGGTAGAGAAAACAACTACCTAAAGACAAAATTAATGAAACCATGCAAGATTAAAAGTTAGTCCTCCTGAAGAATTACGGAGGATATGCTCAATGGCTGCTTTCTTTCCAATATTCAGATCACTTTTAGCAACTGGGAGACTCAAAGCAGGGATCAGTACACACTTCATGTTGTTGTTAGGTGCCATTGAGTAGTTTCCGACTCATAGCGACCCCATGCACAGCAGAATGAAACACTGCCCAATCCCACGCCAGCTCCACGAGCCCTGCTATACTTGAGCCCATCATCACAGCCACCATGTCAATCCATCTCGTTGAAGGCCTCCCCCTCTTTCATCAACCCTCCACCCTACCAAGCATGACATCCTTCTCCAAGGAATGGTCCCTTCTGACAATATGACCAAAATAGGTGGGATGAAGTCTGGCCATTCTCGCTTCCAAGGAGCATTTCGGGTGCACTTCCTCCAGGACATCTGTTAGTTCTTTTGGCAGTCCATGGTACTTTCAGCATTCTTCGCCAGCACCACAACTCAAAAGCATCAACTCTTCTTTGGTCTTCCTTATTCATTGTCCAGTTCTCACATGCATACGAGGCGATTAGAAATATCACGGCTTGTATCAGGCGCACCTTAGTCCTCAAGGAGACATCCTTTCTCCTCAGCACTTGGAACAGTTCCTTTGTGGTTGACTTTCCCAATGCTACATGTCGTCTAATGTCCTGACTGCTGCTTCCCTTGGCATAGATTTTAGAACGAAGCAACGTGAATTCTTTGACAACACACTTCATGCATAACTTAAAGGAAGAACCAAGGCTTCCAACCAGTTCATTCTGGCCTGACCCCTGCTGACAATTTATATGTCCACCTTAGATGCACTGAATCAGAATCTACATTTTAACAAGATCCCCAGGCATTTCTTATGTATATATATGAATACCCATATGTATTCATATATATACACATATGTGTAGATTCTGATTCAGAATGGCTGGAGTGGAAATGCAAGTTTTCAGCAGGAGGTCAAGCCAGAATGATCTGGCTTGAAGCTCTGGACAAACTCTGTACATTTCCTTTTCTCAAGGTTCCTTCATAAACATCTCTGACATCTCTGAGGTTTCATGTTTATTAAGAAGTTAAACCCCTGAACCCCATTTGAAGTTGGTGGGAGAAGCAGCTAAATATGAGATTCCAGGGTCCCGTTCAATTATTTACTTAAAAGATTTTAGAGTATGTCCTGTATCCGTAAGGAGCCCTGGTGGCAAAAACCATTAAACACTCGGCTGCTACTAGAAAGGTTGGCAGTCCAAACCTACCCAGTGGTTCTACAGGAGAAAGACCTTAAAGATTACAGCCTGGAAATCCTGATGGTGCAATTGTACTCTGCCACATGAGGTTGCTAAGTAAACTTGATGTCACCTAACAACTATGTGTGTGGCTTGGGGTATAATGGTAAAAAGATTTGCCCTTGTAGGGTTTCAGTCTAGAAAGGAAGATGGGCATTTATTCAAGCCGTACAATTCAATCCAAAATTTCTATCCTGAACAGTAGTATGTGGTGCCTTGAGGGCTCTGAAAGCCATGGTGGGTTCAGAGCCTTAACAACCAAACCAGTTGCCTTCTCGTTGACTGACTTATGGCAGCTCCAGATGGGTCAGAGCAGAACTATGCTCCAGAGGATTTTCAGTGGCTGATTTTTCAGAAGTAGATATCCAAGTCTTTCTTCCACTTTGCCTCTGGGTGGATACAACCTTCAACCTCTTGGTTATCAGCCAAGAACATTTGTACTACTCAGGAATCAAGACCTTAACTCAATGCTTTTCAAACTTTAATGTCCACATGAATCACCTGGGAATATTCTGATTCAGTAGATCTGGGTGAGGTTTTTTCTGCATTTCTAACC